AACATCTACATCTTCAGGCTTTCTAAAGCTGCCTGAAGTTGTACAAGCCAGGATCTCCCAGCCAGATGGCCAAAGAACTAGCTATCAGTCAGCCTTTCCCACAGATGATTATTACCTCCTTCAGAGCCTGAAACTTCCAAAGTGTCCACATCCCTGAGAACGTTAAAGAGAAAAGTCTGGATGCAACGTCAATGCCATTGGTACATTAGCACACTGTCCCATTGATTGCTCACTTTGCAGGAGCCCAAGTGGCATTTGGGAAGTAATGGAATATGGAAAAACTCACAGGATAGACAGAGGCCACATAAATCAATGCAGTTCACTGCCTTTAGGTCTGAAGAGCATTTTGCTCCCTGAAATCCAGAGCTGATCTGCACAGCTGGGAAGTGGGAGCTGCGGGGAGGTGACAGCACACTCAAGCAGTGGATTTGTCAAGTAGCATAATTTGGGCAGAAAAGGGGAAATCTGAGGACTTGAAAGTCATCCTCCACAACGGTTAATCCCACATCGCTACAGGCTGTTCCTGGTGGTTGCCATCCACTGGCACTGCAGGGCCAGGCTTTGCAGGGTGTCCAGCAGGAGGGAGAGAAGGGATCAAAGAGGATCTGGCACAAGGAAGAAACCTCCTTGCTTCCAGCTTCCTCAAAGCACTGACCTCATCCACAGGCCAGTGGGAATCAGCCAAAAACCTTTGGATGCTCCATGGTAAGGACCTCTCTGGTTCTGCTTTCCTAGGCCCAGTCACTTTCCCATCCCCAGCTATGTTTTAATAAAGCTCTATAATAAAACCCAGGCCTTGAGTTTGTGCATACAGCTTCCCACAGACCCAGAGCACCCGGACCCATCTTCTGCCTCCAGAAGATCCGAGACACTGAGCTGTGTTCTCTGCTCTCATTCACGCCTCATCATCCTCCCTCAGCTGTTGATAGCCCTGTGGAAACAAGCTTGAAGTGAAGCAGGGACATCCCATGGCACACTCCTCCAAGCTTCCCTGCCCTCATCTCCAGCATCTCTATAGTGTTGTCCCTTTCGATGTAGGCACATTTGGGATGAGATGCGATCTCCACGTTAGACCAAGAGCATAATTTGGCCTTGACAAGGAGATGACTTTTGCCAGGGCTGCTTGGAACAGTTCTAGACAAGGTAATTTTGAACTGCAGGAGAACTGGGAAGAGAAACAGCGAAGTAGAAACAGCGAGAGGAGCACAGAGACATGAAAGAATGGATGAGCAACAAGGAAGCAAGACAGAGGAAAGTACAAAAGAATAAGGTAAAACCATGGGTAAGTGTACACAGACTGAGAGGGCCCAGTTATATTGAGAGAAACCCTCCCATCAGCTCCCCCAGTCGAAGGGGAAGTTGTGAACAGTCTTAAATGATGTTTCAGCTAAAACCTTCCCAAGTTGTTCTCCCTGTTTCCTTGAAGAGCACACGCATAAGCCCAAGCCTTCTAAAGGGTGGTGAAAGCCACAGAAACCCCAGGCATCACCCAGCATCATCTGTTCCTAGAAGCGCTGTTCTAGGCTGTTATTTATCTGACCAAGGAGTTGAGAGCATTGAAACCAGAGGGAACCACAGGCAAGAGAAAACCCTTATTAAAAAACAGCCTCAAATTATAGGGATAATTTGATCCTGTGTTTTTAAAGCTATACAGCAATAATTCAACTCTCTCAATAGAGCCAGGTTATGCTGTTTGGCAAAACAGCCCAGACAAAGGCAGTGTTTCCATAGGGGAGGTTTTCCTATCTTGTTCTTCCCAGGCTCTAACAGCACACCATATGCTTCCTTTGGATCACCCTCCACCTTACAGCAGAAGACACAGCAAGAACTGTCACATCCAGTGCACACACCTGCAAGAACACAAGGAAATCTATTGCAAGGAGGGGTTGGTTTTGTTCTCCAAGCAATAGCTTACGTCTACCCATTGACTGCGTGGAGAAGGCTGCTGCCCTGGGCTTACCTGAAAGGCTTTGCATTCAAAACAAGGGTGCACAACACACCACTCATGATGATCTTCCTGGAAATGAGGGCAGAAATCTATGCTTCCCTCTTCTTTCTGATGCTGCTATGAGAAATAGCCTGGAAATACCTGGTTTGTTACCAGTGAGAGTCCAAGGGAGGAGGTGCATCAGGCCAAACAGACCTTCAGCTTCTGGATGAACATATACACAGCAAGAGGAAACACACATTCATTGGAAAGCCTAAAATCTGAAGGAAGCCAACTGCACTGTCCTGCTCTAGAGGTTTTATGCATTTAATATATTAATAACAAGATTAAGAACATAACTACCAATTAATAGAACCCAGAGAACAAGGTACTTGCACAGTTTGATAAACTGGGCCCTTAACCTCACGATGGCAACATTCCCATGTCATAAAATAGGGATACAAACACAACTCACAGGGAAAACAAACCAAACCAACCACATGGCTCATTCCCCTCTGCATGGAGGGGAGACCTGGGAGCCACCAAACCTACTTTTGAGCTAGGTCAGCCAACAGAAGCTCTTCCCTGTGAGGGTGCTGAGGCGCTGGCACAGGGTGCCCAGGGAAGCTGTGGCTGCCCCATCCCTGGCAGTGTTCAAGGCCAGGTTGGACACAGGGGCTTGGAGCAAGCTGCTCTAGTGGAAGGTGTTCCTGCCCATGGCAGGGGTTGGGGCTGGAGGAGCTTTAAGGTCCCTTCCAACACAAACCAGTCTATGATACACCATAGCCAAACTACAATCTGTAACACAACCCATGGTCTAGGCAGCACTGCAATGTTTGCCCATGTTATGAGTCTGAACGTGTGGAGTAGAATTCAAAATGCTTTAGAGTTTAACATCACCACCCCACTCAGTGCCTTGTTAACGAGGCCTAATTTTAATCCACCAACTGCCCTAATGTAGCAGACTTGTTTTGCAGGGGGTGGTGGGAACTGCACGTCACTGGTCACTGCCACATTACATCCATTCGAGCAGCAGCATTCCTGGAGCGCTTGTGATTCTAAAGGGGTTTGTTTCAGAGACAACGGGTAGGATAATTTTATGCAGCGCTGATGACAGTCTTGAGAACAACTTCACCACACTTCTTGCAACAAGAGGATCCTCAGAGATCCAAGGTTAAAACTTAAACAAGGGAAGTTTAGATTGGATGTAAGGAGGAAGTTCTTCACTTTGAGGGTGGTGAGGCACTGGAATGGGTTGCCCAGGGAGGTTGTGAATGCTCCATCCCTGGCAGTGTTCAAGGCCAGGTTGGACAGAGCCTTGGGTGCCATGGTTTAGTGTGAGGTGTCCCTGCCCATAGCAGGGGGGTTGGAGCTGGATGATCTTGAGGTCCTTTCCAACCGTAACTATTCTATGATTCTATAAGGAATATCACCATGCCCCTGCTCCCATCTTGCAGAAAGGTCAAGAGAAAACCATCCTGAAGACAGCTCTCTGGCCAAAACACTTGGACCTTTCCACACTAGGACAGTTCATCAAAGCATCTAACTTCCAAATGACAAAGTTCTCTCAAAGCTCTTCTCAAGCTGCTCTTCCATCCCCCCAGACTCCCTTTATTAAGGCAACCTGTTTCTTTTTAATTAAGAAAAAGCCAGTGCCCTCCTGAGAGATGTACAAAAGAGAGGGGGAACCACAGCCAAGTGAACAGGATCCACTCCCCGATATGCAGTTTGTGCATGGTTAATGGATGTTGGGCATTAATATTTCTTACCCTTTTGTCTGTGTTCACTGTAATAGAAACCCCTGTCTAGACTGAGTGGCTACTACAAGTAATCCCGGTAATATCCAATAAAATCACTCTGAAATGCGATAGCTATAGTTATCAAGGAGCACCAGGATTAACTTGATTGATTGAACAATGGACTTCTGGTTTTTAACATGCTCTGTATGTGTCCCAAAAAATCAGAAATATACATATGGTTGTAAACCCTTCAATGCAGGGCAACTTATCATAGACTGTAAATGTACTGACACACCCTAAAAGGAGAAAGATTAGTGCTGCTCCAAAATGAAAGGATAAGTGGCAATGGCCATAAAGAAATACTTTCACTTAACCAGCTCCTACAAGGACAGAACACATCAACCTCTCTACTGGCAGCCACGGAACAAACAATGTGTGCTTAGATCCATCTTTCCTTAAATGTCCTCTCCTGAAAAGACATCCCAAATGAGGATTTCTGCAGTAAATCCAACCAAGAAAGCATCTTCTCTTCCTGAAGTATCTTGGTAAATAACTGTCTCATTGAACAAGAAGAGCCAGGCTCTATCAAGAGACATGAGATTACAGTAAATGGAGTTGCTGAATTAACAGAGCAGTAAAACTACCAGGCCCAGGTGTAGAGCATCATCCACTGCTGCTACAAGCACACAATGGCTTCCTTGCTGACCCAGGTCTGCAAGTGTGTATTGATAGCTCCGCTTTGAGCTGAGATACTCTGTGGTGGGTAAGGCTGATCTTTCTGAAGACCAGTGCACATCAGTGAGTAATTAATTAGCAAGAGGTCCAAGACCTGGAACCAACCCCCCTGCATTTATTTCCAGTGCCACTCATAGTCCTCCTCATGAACTTTCTCAATCCTCTTTGCTCTCTGTATGGGCTGGTATGAGTCTAGAAATGAGAAAGGTGCTTTTAACAGGCACAATAGAGCTACCATTCAGTAGCTACCTGCTCACTTAGGTAAAAGATGATTCACTTCCCAGACAAGGGAAGTATAAACCTTTAATAAAGCCACTTGATAAATCAGTTCAATCTAAGGAATTACCACCTAAAGAGCTGAACTTTAAGGTTCATAGTCTATTCTCACTAAACTGAAAGGGAACTATCTTGACCTTACAGCAGCACCCACCTACAAGAAAGGTGGCAAAAAACAGGTGTAGGATTACCAAGAACTTCAGTATAGCAGCATTCTCTATAGGAAGGGCTTTCATAATCACCTGGCAAGGAGATGGGCTTTTCCATTCACCCATGGCATACTGATAAACAGCATGATAGAGAAGGAACGTAGAGCTACTAACCTTCACAAATCCTTCTGATGTCCATACTGGCTCTGCCCCAGTTGAATAGCAGCACAAAGGAAGCATCACTGACTTCCTAAGCTCTGCCTCATGCTGCAGCAGAAAAGCAAGGTCCTCTCCCAAGCAGCTCTGCTTCCCTTTTATACCACATCTGTGACTCCCTTCCTTTCCTCCCTGCTTTAAGAGGGCGGAACAGGTGGCTCAGGTTTGCTTGGTAAAAGCAATTAAAAGAGCTCTCCCTATAGGGCCAGTTGTTAAGGAGCTCCCAGTAACTCACCTGGGCTTAGTCTGTGCAACAAGGCTGCTTGTTCTCTTTGTTTCTGTAAGTAATCCAAATTGAGCAGGGCAGAGAAGGAAAGGGAACACCACAGGAAGTCCCTCATTCACTGCTGGGGTTTGTTTCTGGAAGCTGGGGCTGTGCCCACTGCCCTCAAACACTGACCAAATCCAGGTTTAAATCACTTCCACCCCACCAGCTGCTATGGAGCTGCGACAGTTCCTTAGGTGAAGACATGGTCCACGTCTAACAAAACGTGGTTGAAGAACTCGCTGTGCTGACCTGACACTGAACCTTCCACTGAGCCGTTCTCAGTGCAGCAAAATATTTGTTTTATTACAGCCCTGCAGAGCTCATCCCGGTCCAGGCACTCAGATTAAGACCAAATGTGTTGAGGTGAAGTTATGAGATCCGTGTTTGGGAATTGGTTTAAGTTCTTTTGTGGATGCTAGCGATGCTGGAAGGGCACAAAGCGAGTTGCAACAATAACGGTGCTTATGGCATCTTGCAGGTTCTGTTGGGGACTTCGCAAAGGGGATAGCCTTATCCTGTGTCAGATGTTGTTTTCAAAGGATTATGTAATACAAGTCTCCCTGAATCCTAAGAAATTCCTTTTACAAGGAAATTCATGAGGCCTTTCTGGCTGGCTGAGCCATGTCAAGCCTTCAAGTCCTGGCTTAGCCTGGTTCCCTGCACATCACAGGGCCTGCAGGCATCTCGAGGCTTGCTCAGTAACAGCATTAACCATCCCAAGAGCCAGAGGGAAGTGGAGATGGAGGGAACCTCTCAGCAGTCAAAGCTGGGAAGATGTCAAGCTGTGAAGAGCTCTTAGCGGACGTGTGTCTCTAGGCATAACCCACATCTGATCTTGGGAATCCTGAAATGTGATAGAAGGGACCATCTGACATGGACTGAGCCTGAGATGTACAGTAAGACACCAACGAAGCACACTCATACGTTTCTGATTTTCACTGCATTAATAGGTCTTTCAATAGCAGGGAAAGAACTGAAATCTCCTGGGGTTGGACATTGATGAAACCATTAAAGAGTTTTCTCACCAAAATTTCCAAGTAATCCATGTTCTCATGGTAACAGCAAAATCCCTGTTAAAATATAGTTGCAAATATCCTGTTTCTTTTTATTGCTGAGCTGATATATCAGACCTGGGATATGAGATATGTGATATTTCCATTACAACCATAATGTCTCCTTGGGACCTATATGGTGTCACTGTGTATTACCAGACTTCAAGTGTGATCCTGAATACGAGGATTTTATTTACTATAATATCACGTATACCCGTTCCTGATCCATCCATTGTAATGCAAAGAAAACTGATGAAAAATAAAAGCTAATTCCCATATTTTAAAGCCCAGATGTAAATTTCAAACTTCGGAATTGCAGTAGGGAAAAACAGAAGGGAAAAAAGTGTGAAATCCAAAGTTCTCTTATCTGAACACGATCACGAGAGAAATGCCAGATGAATCGCATGGGGTTTTATTAGTGTCTCTGGGCTTGTTTCCGTGGCTGTGTGAAAGAAGCCCTTATAAAGGAGGCATTATTTGAAGACATGTCCCTGTTCTCACACAACTTTCCAAAGCGGAACGACATCTCTCTCCTACAGAAACTGAGATCTGCCCCAGTATTATCTATCCAATCTCCTTGGAAGTAGCTTGAGACACAAGGCAAGGGTGGTGAGATGCAGATGTTATCAATTAGCCAAAGAAGTTAACAAAACAACTTCAAACCGCAGCAGTTGTTCCAGCTGAGAAGTCTGAAGTTTGAAGTGGGTATTTAGCTGTTGTGCTGCGCTCACTTCTTTTGTATGTGCTGATAGGAAGCCAGTCAGACCACAGCTGTGAAATCCCAGCTTTGGGAACCAGATCCTCCCCATCAAATCCAAAGGACAGAAGGCAAGACTTGCGTTACAAGGATGCCGAGCCCCGAGGCAAAAATCACAGCTAAAACGCAGCGTGTCTTGTGAAGCAGTTATTGATAAGCAAAGTGAATGATAAAGAAACGTAAACCCGCTTCTGTCAGTGGCAAACCAGCAGTGATGCGAAGGTTATGTGAATTGCTCTTAAGGAGAATTCCTCCAAATCATGACAAATGAGGCAAATGTGTGGGAAAGGATGAGCAGGTCTAGAAACAGAGAGGAAATGTGCTTGTTCTCTGCCACTGCTAGAGTGAGGTGCAGAGTACAAGCAAACACTCCTTCATCTTTAGACATCGGTTGGTCACCAGCTGGAAGAGCCAAACTATGGCAGAAGGAAAATCAGGGATTGTATTTGCTATTGATAAAAGCATAGATGATGTCCAAAGTACAAGAGAGACTTGAAGACCTTCCTTCCCTAACGCAGCTGCAGGACACACAGCCCCTGTCTCTCTCTGGCTTATTTAGTGCAGCCTTTCACCATCTTAGCATCCTACTCAAAGCAGTCTAGTAAACAAGTAAGCTCAAGATAAATACAGCTTGACTTCAAAGGCATGATGCCTTGGTTGTGACAAGGCTCCTCATGAGGTCCGTGACCCAAAATCATGGGTGGGAGGCAGAAACATACTGCAGTGTTCAGCCAAGAAGGCTCTTTGGTGACAAGCCCACAACGCAAGGCTTGGGTTACATGGTTTGGGAGCATTAAGAGATCAGAGCAACCGAGGATAGCTGAGTAATTGTACTTATCGCAACTGATTAAAAACTCAGTGTGATTCAGAGCCAGAGGCTCATAAGGCAGAACATGCTGTGAAGGGTGTGTGCTGGCATGGTATAAAAGAAATAACAGCAAGAAACATTCTCTGATGCTGAAGTGACAAGGGAGAAGCATTAAAATGTTGCCGCACCAGCAGTTTGTCAATGACCTCTGCAAGATGCTGAGAGCAAATGGGAGTGAAAGAGTTTATGTCATTGCTTTGGAGCAAAGAGCCACCCCTTTTCCACCATGTGTCCTGCGTGATATGGCCATAGCCCAGCGCTGCTGTGATCCCTGTGTGTCATTTGGATCACATCTGCTGTGGGGAAAACACTGGCTCCGTTGAGTGAATGCAAGGAACGTGAGCAAGGTCTGAGCCCTGCCACACCTGGTGCACCAGTCCTTGCATTAAATAGGGCTGAGAGGGGCCTCGTGGGTCACCCAGCCTTGTCTCCTGCTATCACAGGCACCATGTCCTGTAATCCCCTTCATAAACACAGCAGCAGCTGGGGGAGAAAAGCCTGCAATGGCTGAGGATGCTGAATGTGAGGTGTTAGAGGGTCCTGAGTCCGGGGGTTTGGAGTATGCAAAGAATGCGGCTTGGTGCTGTTTAGAAGAGCAACATAACATTTTATTAATGATCTGGAAAGCCATATATCCAGGGAAACACCCGAGGCCTTCATTATGCCAGAGAGGCATCAGGATAATGCAGTGCTTGCTTTCTGCTTCTGGCCTTGAGAACAGAGAATTACTTTCTCCTGTTTCAACATTTGGTGGAGCACAACATGCCAGCAGGAGAGAGGGGGAAAAAGAGCCCTGGTTTCCATTCCTGCAAGTGCTGTGTCTGTTTTAAATCATGAGAGAAGGAGGCTTCTAATGAGGCTGATTCATATAATGATGTATTTTACAAGCTATTCTTAGCGGATTCACTGCAATATGTCATTCTTTATGTACCGTGAGAGATATATGAGCACACGAGCTTATGAAGGGTGGGGAAGTCTCTGAATAACTGACCAGTTTTGCACCTCGTGTGCTGGAGAAGGAGAGAATGAATTGGAAGTTCACATAGACCATTGCTTCCAAACCCTCCGGAGCTCAGGTCAGCCGTGAGCTCCACTCCAATAAATGTGAACAAGACTCGGGTCTTAAAACTGGTTTCCAAGGAAGTGTCTCATTTTATTGCAACACGAATAAGAGACTCTAAGGTAATATTGACTTTGGTTTACATTTCATAAAAGAGAAAAAGAAGACTGTAATTTCATGGAGGCTCGAACAGAAATGCCTCTTTCCATCCAAGCGGAAGGAATCACGTCCAGGACCTTTCCCTGAGGGCTCGGGGAAAGCACATTAACATGGCAACTCCCACTTTGCTTTATTTGTGAGTTACTCTTGCAGGAGGATGAGGCTGGAATTGAGTGAGGCTATAACCGGACTAACTGGCCAAAGCCTGTGACATTAAGGGGTAAGCAAGGATGCTGAGAGGATAATCCCAAAGATGCAGCTCTCCAGCTGATGAAAATCAGAAGAGCCAGATAATCACTGGGAGAGATTCCCACCTAGACAGGAGGTAATTGCAGGGGCTTTAAGTGGAAGGGTGCAGTAGTTGCTCCGGTTCTGCCTGTCACTCCTGTCACTGCTGACTTTCCCAGCACTGTCTCTAAAGATGCTGGAGGAGGGGCTGAGGCCCTTTTAATGAAGCGAAAGGATGAGCGGGTGGCCTGTCCAGAGCAGCAGTGGAAAGAGAAAAGCCATATGCAGAGAGCCCTGAGCATGGGGAAACCAGAGCCGCAGCCCGTTCCAGGCGCAGGAGCTGCTGAAGCACAGATGTCTTCAGGAAATCTCTGCTCTGGCCAGGTGGGACAGTGACTCACATCCCAGGCTGTGCCAGCACCCGGCTCTGCAGCATGCCAGCAGCAAGGACAACCGGGATCGCTCGCTGGACCAGCAGGCGTCTGACTGGTGAGTCCCACCTGGCCTGGGCTTTTCCAGCCTTGTATCCCAATGGCACGGGCACAGGTCCTTTCCGTGCGGCTCCCCATGCCTCCTGCATCAAAGGGGCCCTGCTTTTGCCTTTTCCCCAGCAACCTGATTTCTGGCAAGGGGAGCTGGCTGCTGTTCCCTC